TTTATCAGATGAAGACAAGTTCTTCTAAATAATAATTAGAGGAATATCGCTTATCATAATAATTTGAGGCTAATTTTATTTCCTGTGGTAGATGTTCTGTCCATTAGTAAGGATGTCACAGCTACATTGGGAGTGATGTGTACGTGTTGTCATCGTACAACCATTTGCCAATAGTATCAATTGAATCTAGAAAGAGTATATTTGAAGTATACCACTCAAATGGAGTTACGTTTTACCTGTACCAACCTTAGATAATTATGAACCAGCTAGTGTTGACTTGCACTTTCAAACCCAATGTACATTCTTACAATACACTTATGAGTTTAGATAGTTTCACATTGTATGTGCTTTTTATTTAAAGGCATATATTTTGTGGTACATGCAGTGCCCTGCAGAGGCCAATGGAACTTTCTTTCAGTTTATCTTGCTTTTATTGTACAGTGTATATTAAAGATAATAAAGTCATTTTATTCTTGAAATTTTGTTTGGTGTCTAAATTGTTTGTCAGTCATTTATGGTACCAAATAAAAATAAGAAACATGTGGATAATTATGTTTTGATCAAATTTGCTATCTTGAGTGAAAGTGTAAAAAAGTGATATTTTAATCAACTTTGTTTACCTTACTTAAAGTATGGAAAACTGCTATCATGGCAATATTTGCCATCGTGAGCAAAGATACAGAAGAACTGATATTTGATCAACTTTGCTACAATGGGGAAAAGTATGGGAAACTACTGTTTTGATCATATCTGCCCTCCTGAGCAAAATTGAGAATAAAGTGGTATTTGGCCAAATTTGCTACCCTGAGCAAAACAGTGGCAAACGCCTATTTTGGTCATATTTGCCACACTGAGCAAAGATACGGAAGAAGTGATAATTTGACCTCATTTACTACGCTGGGCGATACACAAATAAAGTGAATTTTTGCTCAGATTTACTATCCTGGGCAAAACTGTTGAAAAATGAGTTTTGGTCACTTTTGCTACATTGAGCAAAAATGTGGCAAATTACTACTTTGACCGAATTTGCTATAGAGAGCAAAAGTATTCAAAAATTCATCTTCAATCGCTTTTGCCCATTCGGGCAAAAACCTGACAAATGTCAGTTTTGCTATCAAGTTTGACACCCCTGTAAATGCCTTGATAAAGTAAAGGTTATCCTTGTTTTTACACACGGGGCAAATTTGAGGCAAATTCGGCATTTACCACCTTTGCCACTAATGCAAAATTATGGCAAAGTTGGTCCTAAGTCATGTGGCAAAATTGAGCAAAATTAAGCAAATGTGGCATTTGCAGATGATTTGCTCCAAACTTGTTATAGCGGTAAATCCGTTTTTTCGTCCAGTGGTACAAACGGACGCAACAACTCCGAACAAGGTTGACCCAACAATGTTGGGGGTTGTTGCTTCCGTTTGCACGTAGCTAAAAGTTTGACCGGTTTCAAATTTTGCGCAACAACTCCCAACAACACGCAACAATATGCAACAGGGTGTACAAACGGACTCATCATGTAACATTCATTAATTTTGGGAGTTGTTGGCCAACAATGTTGCGTCCGTTTGCACAGAAAAAATTCGTAATAGATATCCCTTTTTTAACAATTCTGACAACAATGAAAACACCCTCTTCATATTTAACAATGTCAATCCTTATATCTACAGACTCACAGCTGCTTAAATACATTCATTTTTATACAATGATGTGAATGCTACGCGCGCTGTGATTGGTCATTGCCCATGATCTATTAGAGTACCGATACATGGATGACGTCACGGGAAACTTGTTTTCTTTGTTTTGTTCAACATGGCACGCGGTTTTGAAAATGTTTGTGAGATTATTTTGGATTGAGGCAAGTGAAAGCTTCGGAAAAAGTTTAGCAGGAGCTATTTACGAAGAAGAAAAATGGAGAAACGGGGACCAAAAAAGCTACTGACTACTTGACAATGCCTAAACTACAAGAAATCTTCACAACAGTTGCCATCGTGTGTCTTCGCTACTACAGACTCGCTGTTTTGCAAAATGTTTTCGCTATTATTCTTCTTTGAGCAAGAAAAGACGGCAAAAAACTTTTCGAAGAAACTGTACACAAGTAAGATAAAGAAGAAGCTAAGATGAAAAGTTAGGTTTGGGACTTAAAAAATGCCTAAACTAGCACAAATCCTCAAAAGGTCAAGCGGTTCGAGGCAGGTATGTGCATCGGTGTTTTTCTTTTCTGATCATTGTATAAAACAAATAGATTCCATGTTGCCGTGGGTCTGTTCAGTAATAGATCACAGAGGACGTCAAAATGTGGTAAAAACAACAGTGACACACTCGCCTGCGGCTCGTGTGCCACTTCTTTGTTTTTACGACATTTTGACGTCATCTGTGATCCATTACTGAACAGACGCACGGCAACATGGAATCTATTTGTTAAATGGAATATAGAAAGAAACTTGTTCTTTTTAAAATTTTAGCTTTTATTTTGATTTAAGATTTATAACATAAATAATGTAGGTAATACCATGTATTCACGTGGGAATACAGAAATAACGTTGTTGTTGTTGTTGCTATCTAGCATGACGCATGCTCAATAAGGGATGCTATCGTATTTCCATCGTTTTAGCATTTTCGTGTGGAAGGGTGAAAACGATTCGAATACTCTACGTGTAGACGCGTATGTTTTAGAAAACGGAGAAAAAATCTCCGTTTTCAAAAAATATCCGGATACGTGTGGATGGGGCCTGTTATCGATGGGTTTACGAGAATATACATTACTGGGTAAAACATGAGCGCATAATTTAAAGTGTTCACGTGCACGTATGGCACGGAGACTGCTAACAAAATGTTTATTCAAAGGTAACAAATTAAACGGGCTCAAAATGATAGTAAACCTTATTTCAGGGGGTTTTAGTTCAATATAGTAAGGCACCCTTCGTTTTTTGTGCTCAAAAATCCTTAAAACATTGTAGCTTATAATTCTAAAACCAATAAAAAATTCCAGCGGGCAAATGCGACAGCTATACGCGTATGTTCCAAATGAATCCACCTGCATAAATATCTTGCTTGGAACTCGTGCTTCAGACGTCGGGAAACCTTCAGGAGTCTCAAAATTTAGCTTTTCCGACAATTTATCTCCAAGAATTCAGCGCAAAATTTTGTCTAAATCTCCTCTACAACAGCCATGATATAAGCGGTTTAAAACATGTCGCAAAAGCAAAGCTTTTACTTTTGAATTTATTCAGAGATAAGTTTCCCCCGCGGCCTTAAGAGGAAACTGCTTATCTCAGTTATTTATCAATAGAGCAGTGACCTGTACTTGTGACCTGTGACCTTTGTTTTGTACCTGCGAATTTAGCTGTACATCGGCCCCAAAAACGTAAATAAGTCTTTGCTTAAAAGGTCTCAAGAAAATGGCAGTTAAGTTCATTTACATTCAGTCGTTAAACAATAATTTGCTGGTGAATACCTTAACCATATTGAAGTATAAAACGTACGTCTATGCATACACTATACTCCTACCTCACCAAATTGTTTAACATTGCTGCGGACGTTTCTATGCTATTGGTGGAGACTCATATCAAAACCAGTCCTCTTCGTCCCACTTTACAATAAATTTGCGCAACTTAATTGGCGTCATGGAAGTTCGCCGTGAAACTCAACAAAAAAATAAAGGGATGCAATAAGACCAGGGTTAAACGTTGAACTTTTTGCATGTGACAATCCTAATGCTGATGAACGTAATCTATTGTTTTCGCTCATTAGCATTAAGTTCCTCCCATGTGAAGTTCAACGTTTGACCCTGGCCTAGAATTGACCACTTGAATTCGGTCAAAACATTCTTACACGACCATTAAAAAAACTCAAATATTGCTTGCATTGTGGCTTGTTGTAAGTAAAACGTTTCAGTTAGAGTTGAAGTCATTTGTTTTTAATGACAGTCTATAGACAGACCTGGGGCGCGATCCATTCAACCAACATTCAGACCGGTCCGACCGGGAAAAGAGGACCACCTCAAAAGGTGGACCTGTTTTTTCGAAACTTTTCCGGTTGGACCGAACCGATCCATTGAGTTTTGGACCGAAATTTCCGGAAATTTTGTTTGAATGGATCGCGCCCCTGGTTAGTTAAAGAATCAAGCTATGTTTGGTAAAAGTAACTTTAATTCAGCGCTGGGCTTTCCGTATTCGCACCTGCTTAGTCTGCAAGCAAATAATTTAAAAAAGAAAACATCAAAAAATGCTGCTCATAATCATTTAATTTAATAAAAATTATAGCACTACAACCTACGGCAGGAGCTCTTGGTCATGCGCTTCTGGGTGCGGAAATTAAAATTTACATTACAATATCAAGTGATCTCTTAACGATGAATACAAAGTAAGGAGTACGTTTGGTAAGTTACGCTCATTACATTGTAACATCCAGTTCGCTTGATTTACGTTGCTATATTCATGTATACTAAATAGCAGATATTAGAAATAAACACTTTAAGTTATTAATTATTTTATTTGAAAGCTTTAATTGCGTCCTTTTTCATGGAAACAGTCCGATCGGTTCAGTCATCAGAAACAAGCCATCTGATTGGGTTCATCGTCTATCCTGATTGAAAAAAAGTACGAGAGGGATTATATTTGAATTAATGATCTTCATTAGATTTCAATAAGTGAGGCAAGGCCTTTTTCACCAAGTTAATTTAGAAAGAACTTTTATCCATGGCGAAAAATTGCGGACGTGATTCTTACAATCACATCTCTTTATAATGGTGATAGTTGCTGTTAAAAGCAGTAAAACACAGGCTTATATCGCGATACATTTAAAGGATAAAACACAAAGCAGTTTACGGAGGGCTTAATTTACAGTTCTGCAGGTATGTAGATGTGCTGGAGAGGTGTCTGATGACGTCATTATTGCGTCACAGCTTCAAACGGCACTGTGAAAAATTACTGGCGAAAAGAACGATGACAATATACCTAAACAGATTCAAACATCCTTGGGTTCAAGGATTTCACGAAATATTGATTTTTCCAGCTGTCATCACTGCAACAGAAACTCTTAGCACAGAACACAGAAAGCTCCAAACGATGACTTTTTCCATCGGACGGTTGTCTTTCTTCTCGTATCTTCAAATTCCTCAACGCCTTTCTGTTGCCTGTGACAGCGGAAAACGGCGACATTCTCCTCTCTCCCCCAGGAAATATAAATATATGTAGACAGAACCATGGGTAAAACTTCAAAATAATTAGTCTTTGACACCAAACAAGCTACAACTCTAATAATGATCCTCTCAAAAAAAGGAAAACTTTGCCAGTTATGCTTAGGCATATTGTAAACACTCATTTTGCCGACACTAATTTTTGTTACAGTTTCGGTCTCCAAGAAAATGTGTTGCAATAATGACATTACCAGACAATGAAACCGGCACAACCGAAAATTGTGTTCTGATAGGGATTTTTTGCAGAAAATTTGGATACTTTTTGATGGAGATATCACAGGTTGAAGATGGCAGGTTTTTGCCGTGGAATATTTACACAAATTTTACATGTTTTTTCTTCTGAAATCCACGGCAGCTATTAGTGTCAGAAAATTTTGAATAGAGTTGCCATAAAAACGTTGATCAGAGAACGCAAACCAGATGCAGATTTTTAACTTGTCTCCATTTGTCTCTAGATATCAGAAGAAATCAAAGCTAACTCTTGTGGAAAAAAAAAGGACACGACATCGTCTTTTTATTAGACGTAGTCTACGTAAAACCACAAAAAATATTTGATATTCTGTTATTAGTTTTACTACGAGGAAAAGTTTACTGGACCGCATAACTAGAACTTTTGGAGAGAGAGACTTACATCACTTATTTTATCGTCATGTGGCCTAAATCCTCCGTCTATTGAGCCTGCGTGTCGAAGATTTGTTGCAACAAATCTTCGAAAAGTGAGAGACAAAAAACCTGATAACCCGACACGGCAAAGCCTCGATATCCGTAGGCGCAGGCTGGTGTTGTCTCATCCATATATTACTGTCGTTGGGACGTGCCAGGTAAAATGAAATTAACTTTGACGAACGAAAACATCCAAAATTTGAGAAAGATGACGACTCGACAAAATAGGAATTTTTAAATAAATCATTTAACAAAACTAACAGGCAATAGACCTTGTCACGGTTTTCGACGCCATCTTGACGAGTAGGCAAATGCGCGAGAAATTACTTTGTTTGCAGGGGCGGATCTAGGGATAGGGTGCAGGAGGTGCGCACCCCCCCCCCAGAGATGACCTGCGGTTTTCTAATACAACTGGTATTCTGCAAAAAAAAAAACTATGTAGTAAGTAGAGCAAGAGACGAGTGCACCCTCTCCTGAAAAAAAAAATCCTGGATCCGCCCCTGGTTTGTATGAGAATCTAATTTCGAATAATTTCCGTAGAACAGCTGTTCTGAAAAAATATGATTTGCAAACTAAAGCTTCACTCCTAAGGATTGTACTGAAAAATTTGACGGCGTTATATGCACTAGAAGACCTAGAACCACTTTTTAAATTTCCTATACATTTGTCTCTAGGAAAGTCCCGGGAAAATTACAGACAAACATATGGAAAATCTAAAGCAAGCCTCTGGAGAAATTTAAGCACAGGTACGCCTCCACATATTTTTAAGGACAATCCTTTGCTTTGTACCTTTAGTTTACAATTGATATTTCTTTCAGAACAGCCGTTTTACTAGACTACGAGTGGTCCCCCATTTTTCCTCAGGGATAGTAGAGCGAGCGAAACGCGAGCGCGCGTGAAAATCACCCCACGCGAGAAAAGGCGACACGCGGCGGGGAGAGAGAAAAATGAGGGACTACAAAGCCCAAGCTTTTGAACTAATGCGTTGCTGTCACAACGCAAAACTCTGATTGGCTCTGTCAACATCTGTCAAAAACGCGCCAGCCGCTATCAACACTCGACATAATCTCAATTTACAGAACAAATAACTAGAGCAGAACTAATAACAGCAAAGAACAAATAACTAGTCAGAGTTGCTCTTGTAGAAGCAACTAAGAAGAAAGCCAACCCGGCAACTGATGAGGTTCGCGTTGAGAACCGAAAGCATGGTCTTGTCTGATCACAAAGTGCGAATTGAATAACAAAACAGTCGCAAGGCTGTTAAGCTTATTCAAACGTTATCACCAAGGGAGGAACTACGCACTCCAGTCCAAATACTCACATTATCTCCAGAAAAACAAGCGGCAGTTAAAATTCGTGAGCAGTCATGACTGGGTCACATCGCAGTTCTCCATAGTTGATGTAGCTTTAGTTTAAGCTGCAATCCATTCTTCGAGATTTGGATATCGCTATCCGTTCTGCTAAAACGCTAACGAGCTGGGCCCAGCAAGACAAAACATTGCAGGAAACCGTCACATTTACGGCCAAAAAGAAAATCGCTTAAAATTATTCAGATCCAAGAGGCAATCGCCGGAGAAATTAAACAACCCCAAACCCTTATTTAGCCGCATTGAAGAGCTTTACTTTTCAAAAGAGGTGAAAGAAAATGCTCTTGCATTAGAGGGCAAATCGTGCCGACCATAAACAATAACCGCAGAAAATTAATATACGTGTCACGACCTCTCAGTATGAAATAAGCGGCAAAAATCACATTTGCTCAGTCAAAACTTTTTCCTCCAGAGCATAATCTATCCGTCAGAGAAAAAAACTTCATTGGAACAAGCAGCATTTTGGCATGAGTAAACGTCGTGTGTTGCCTACACTATCAAGTTATTCACGCGAAACAACCGTGAAGAAAATTAGTATCTGCAGGTTTTCTTCTGCTTGCAATAAGTATCCCCCGCAGTTTACCAATGACAAAAGCAATGACAGCTCAATGAGGGAAGGAATCCCATTGGATGCGCTTAATTGATTTGGAAGGGGATACGAACTTCACACTCCGAAATCAGTCGGCCGTGAAGGGTCAAAAGCTTGGGCTTTGTCTGCAGTCCCTCATTTTTCTCTCTCCCCGCCGCGTGTCGCCTTTTCTCGCGTGGGTTGATTTTCACGCGCGCTCGCGTTTTGCTCGCTCTATTATCCCTGAGGAAAAATGGGGGACTACTCGTAGTCTACCATTTTACGGAAATTATTCGACATTAGATTCTCATACGAACACTGTTATTTCTCACACGTTTGCCTACTCGTCAAGATGGTTTCGAAAATCGTGACAAGGTCTATACATACCGTCCTGCAAGCGCTATCGTATCTAACCACTGCCGTTTGGTAAAACGTGTTCAGAAAGAAAGGAAATTTCTAATCAAGGAATTGCATTAAGGTAGTTTTTACTCTAAATTTTACATACCTTTACCTTATCTTTCAGCTTGTATACCATGTTCGCGCCGTTCAAACCAATTCCATTCTCGCATTTTTCTGAAGAACCGAATTTGTTGTAATTTTTCGCCGCTGCTTTTTTCCAGTCTGACACACAAACTGTAATCTTCTTGTTTTTATTCATCATCAAGCCAAAGTAGGTAAAGCCCTTGGCGAATGCTACCCTTGCACACTTATTTATTGTTGACTTTCTGTCGCTATCTCCCGGCTGATTTGGAATTCTTAAGATCGTCAAACGGAGAGCTCTGTTTCTACCGCTGTTGGCTTTGTAACATCTGAGTTGTTCATATAAGGGAACAGGATCTGAAGAACAAACGACAATAATAATACAAGTTTAAACAAAAATTTCTATAAATTGAGTGATGTGTTACATATTTTGCAACTAAAAAAGAACGCGGTAATAAATTGTTCTGAGCCCTTACACTCCTATAGATGCCAGCTAAATGACTTGAGGCCAAAAAATATAACTGACAAACTGGTTTAATTTAAAAAGCATATATTCAAAATATCCAATACTCTTGTATTTAAGAAGTATAGTAGGGATGAAATTATCCTTTTTGCACAGGAATCTCATTTACTTGCGCAGGAATACATGTTTTTTAATCTTGAGTAGACACACTGAATTCTGCAAAGCTGATCGTACTACGTGGAAAATTAACGTTGCAAGACATGAATACGACACCGAAAGAACCAAAAACAGAGCGGGGTCTTAGCCGTAGACAGCTGTTTCGCCTTTCTGGGGGCTCGTCAGTACGGCGCAACAAACAGAGAGGCTCTGCCGTAAAATTCCCGCGCACTCGGTTTTAAAGCCCTGTCATGAACTCAAACACTCACAGAGTCACGCCATGTCACGTGTCACCGAGAGGGCAAGAGTCCATGTGTCACGTTCATGTCTTACAAAGAAAATTTAGAATGGACAAAACCAACCTTAGGAACATGGGCAAAACCAGAATGTGAGGGAATTTTACGGCAGAGCCTCTCTGTTCGTTGCGCCAAAATGAAGAGCCCCAAAAAGGGCGAAACAGCTGTCTACGGCTACGACCCCCTCTGTTTTTGGTTCTTTCGGTGTCGTATTGATGTCTTGCAAAGTTAATTTTCACGTAGTACGATCAGCTTTGTAGAATTCAGTGTGTCTACTCAGTGTATATTTTTCCTGGTCAGGTCTTTTATAGATCCTACGTTTTACGGCATAATCGTTTGCGGTCCTTTGCAGTTTAAATCTCAATTTTTAAATCTTGTATAGATTAATGCTGTTATGTTTAATTCCACCATCATGTTGTCCATGCTTACGCTAATAAATTATATTCATAGCCTTATAAGATGTTATTTCCCATTTCGACCAAATAACTCAGCTAATGAGATTTGATTCTTTGCCGCTATGGAGAACTGAATCTTTAATCTATGCATTTATTTTCAGCTATTTTCATCTCATTCTCTTACACTTAATTCTCTTAAAAGCTAGCAGCCATCGTATCGTTACCCTAAAAGGTTATATCGTCACAGAGCCTTTCCTTATCCTTTTCCAGTGGAACAGAATATTCATAGGGACCAAAAGGATGAAAGTGCTGCCTCTGGAAGCGAAATTGTGTACAAGGTCGCTGCAACTTGCGCGCGTAAGGACAATCCTGGTATGAAACTGTGCCACCAAAGTCTCATCGCTAGAAAATATTTAGTGACCGCGCATTCGTCATGTTCATCGCATTAGACCGTTCCAGGCTCCCAGATAGTAAGGAGACACTCAAAAATACGAGCACATGATTAGGGAAAAGGGAAAAGTGGCGGGAAACAGGAAGAAGGCCCCAGTTTCTTCCCGTTTTATTTTCTTGTTCGCGCTTTCTTTAGTTCGTTTTGCGACTATCTCGGACCCTGGAACAGGCTGTCATCACATGTAAACGGCGGAATACGTAACGATGTTAGAAATGCCAGTTAGATTTACAACTCAAAGTCGCTCTTCTTCAAAGAACCTTTAAATTTACATTATAATGAGATAAAATTGTCAAAAACGTCTTTTTTATGACTTCCATCAATTAAGTCTCTCAGTCTTGTTCATTTATTATCATCATCATCATCGTTGCTGTTGTCGTCATCATCGGTAGACCGTAGAGCAGTTGACTGTAAGTCGTCTCCAACTGGCTCGGTCTTGGTCACTGCACACAATGTCATCCTCTGACAAATGTTTATTGGGGTTGATCCATTTCTGGGCTTGGCTGGAAAAGGACTTATGCGGTCTTCCTGGGGGTCTTCTCCAGTTGGCAAGGGGGGGGGGGGAGCTCATACAACGGGTAGATGTTAGCGAGTTCATCCTTCTCCGTGGGCAAAATGTGGCAAAGGAACTTGAGCTGACGTGAGATGACCGCCAATAGCAGATGGCTAGTACCAGTGAGATCATAGATTCGGTCATTTGAGACATTGTCCAGACGTTTGATGTTCAGTATGATTCTATAGCATGAGACGGCAAGTGCGTTTAATTTTGCACCTACCTGTGATTGTTCACTTTTCGCAGCCATGTAGTGGGACGAAAAGACATCATTTATGTTATCAGTTTTTATAAAGAGGCGCTTTTTAAGGTCCAATTCACAAATTATCAATACGAACTTACCAAACGAGTAAACGAAAAAGCCTCCTTTCTTGCAATTTAATATGGAACGATATTTAAAGTACCGCCAACCAGGATATGGGCCGGAGTAACATGTTCCACTATGTCCCACGGCAAAAAAATGATAATTTTTGTCTTGGGCAAGCTTAGCACACATTAAAACAGCGGGTTCATTGCTCTGACTTTGTGACCCTTGTGGTTTTAATTCATTTATAACCTTGTTCTTGTTAACAAAACATCCAATCTCATAAAAACGGGATACTGTTGAAGAAAACAAAGAGAAAGGAGAAGGGAAAAGCAAATTTGCAGGCTTTACCAGATATAAGGATTAAACAGAGATTTGACAGTCTTACTGAGAGTCAAATTTGATTTCACCCATCCCGTCCAGAACAGGAAGTCCACCCTTATGTTGGAATAAACCAACCATAATGTTATCTAAAATTTTTTGCTGTCTACGGAAAGACTGCTTTGGACGACTTATCCTCTAATATTGTCCTAGACTTCTTAATGCCTGACTCACATATCACTTAAGAAGCACCGAATTCATAACTGCTTGTAAGTCACAAAGTGTGAACATACATAGGCTAAGGCTCAACAGTGACCATCACAGCAGAAGAACTCGGAGAGCGCCCCTTACTTTTATTACATCGCACAAGGTGAGGGAAAGGGAGTCAGTCCATTATTTTACTGTTACTCCAAGCAAACTCTCAAATAACGTGCATGTGAAGTTTAGACCTTCTGGCTCAATCGATGTAATTTTTTTGAATAAAGATTGTACTGGCGTTTCCGTTCTTTTCAAGACAAGTACATGTAGCATCCGTCATTTCATGTGCTTTTTAGTCTTTTTATTCCTATTTATGTAGTTATTAGCCTCATGCACCTATGCTTATCCATGTTTAAAGTTTTATCGTATGTTTTATCTTATATTATTTAATAATTAATGTATATACCATATTACTTTAAGCATTACTCTGTATACGTGATTAATTTTTTCTCGATTAGTTAGTCGAGGGCCAAAAGTTTATCAGTGGCTTTCATTATTGTGTTTAATTCTCTTCTTTTGATTGCCTCATTTTTTGATTGACTGATAAAATAAATTAATGACACTTAGCTGATTCTAAAATCGTGAAAGATTGAACTGTGCTTTATTGACTGCGTTGAGATCAGTTAACCCGCACGATGGTCGGTTGCTAGGGCTTTTGCTCCCGTTTGGTTCTTAAATTCAATTTCTGGCTTACAGAGGGGTAGTTTATTGTAAAAATTTAAAGAAAACTTTTCTCCGATTAAGATGTTCTAATGTTTTGCTTCATTAGAACATCTTAATTGGAGAAAAGTTTTCTTTAAATTTTTACAATTGTAAAGGTATTTTTGACTTGAAAGTATGACGTCATAAGAACCACCTATTTTTAGTAACAACGTTAAAAATTTGATAAGCAGTGTTCAAAATGCTACAAACATTTTTGTTACAGAAAAACAATATTTACAGTGAAAACCCCATCTCAATCGGATAAAATGGCGTGAAGTTACATGTAATTAAAGAAATTCAAATTTCCCGCCTCATGACCATATATGGTCAAACTTTAGGGGTATTTTAACGCGAAAACAATGAATGTATTTACAACGGAAAAAAGACAAAGCTGCATAAAATCAAAATTGTAGTTTTTTGAATTCGGCATATGTGGTGCTATGACGCGTATTTGGTCACAATTTACGTCATTATGACGTAATTCGTGACAAAATACGCGTCATAGACCACACATCCTAAACTCAAAAAAGTACAATTTTGTTTTTATGCAAATTTGTCTTTTCTCCGTTGCGACTACCTTCATTGTTTTCGCGTTAAAATACCCCTAAAGTTTGACCATATATGGTCATTTGGCGGGAAATTTGAATTTCTTTAATTAAATGTAACTTTGCACCTTTTCATCCGATTGAGATGGGGTTTTCACCAGAAATCATAGAATTCTATACAGAAAACTAATGTAAAATTTTTAGCATTTCTTTCTTGAATTTTCTTTCTGATGCTAAATTTGGACATCATCTATGACGTCACAATAGAAGTCACATGGGATGAAATAAACACCAATAAATAGGTAATTTATCAACTTACTTCTTTGCCAAGTTTTGTTACATTCGATGCATTCTACTTCTCTCTATGGCCTTAAACTCTCAGTTTTGAGAGGTATGGGACCAAAAGCCCTCGCAACAGACCACCGTGCCGAAAATGCGATAAATAATGGATTTCCGTCCGCATCTTGTGATCACTTGAGTGTATATTCTAGTTGTTAATTTTATCTACTTATCTACTTTTTTATATTTTGTTAACATTTTTTTAATTTTTACCTTGGCACTGTTTTCCTGAGTACCCATCTGTGCATATGCAAGTGTATTTGTCATGCGCACCGTTATCAGTGCATTTGCCGCCATTTAAACATGGGTTTGCCATACAAGCAGTCACTGCACCTAAAGTCAAGAAGAGGATAACATTTTTCAAGCATTTTACATTAATCAGTAGCCTCTCAGTCTTTTTTTATCAGCCGGAAAACAATGAATTTACATTTCAAGATTATCACAAGCGTCAGGTTTTTCATATGACTGTGCAGGCAAAGAATAGTTGACAGAAGTCTCGGGCGTTATGAGGATAACACCTTTTAACTGAAAAATGTTTAGAAGACTTGTAAGTCCCAATCCACCCGATTGGTAATTACCTGGATGTTTGATCGCTTAATTGTTTAGCTACTCCAGGTTGTAAAACATTCATTGGTTGATTTATAGTTAATAAAAGTGACTTACTCTCGCAGTTTTTTCCCATAAAATGTTCTTTACACTTGCAAATGTAGTCGTAATGATGAATAACACCTGGCGAACAGCTGCCTCCGTTCAAACATGGATTACTTTCGCAAGGATTTAGTTTTACTACAAAACAGAACCAAAATATCAAACAAGCTCAAAATATGTTCATCTCTTTGTCTTAATGGCTGAGACATTATTTCACGCCAATTTCCGATAGAAAGTTACTCGATTGTTCAAATGAAGCAATATGGCTTCATAACCCACGTAGATGACAATGATAGAGCAGAAACTACAACAAATTCATTTAGTCCCCACCTTGATTGGTTACTGAACTAGCTATTTGAAGGTAGTAAATTATTTAATTTTCTTCAATATCTATCTTTTTTTCCAGTTTATTTAAGTGTCAGGTCCTAAAGTGTAAAGGTTATGTTACACGAGACGATTCGCAACGACCATTTTCGGCGCAACACAGCGTTGCAACATTGTTACAACATTGTTTCGAATAGTTACAACACTGTTCCAACATCGCAACGCTGTGTTGCGCTAAAAATCGCCGTTGCGAATCGTCCCGTGTAACATCACCATAAGCCTAGTCGGGCATTAGTTCCCCTAATCGTTGAGACTGATTAGACATCTATCGGTGTATCACACTGTATCGACCTAATAGTTTTGATATTGATGCTGGAACAAAATATCTCTTAGCTTTTTCAAATACGTTACACTGCCTGCTCTTAACGTGGTTTATAATGTGTTACTCACTCTCACATTCTACGCCAGTAAATCCTCTGTCACAGACACACTGATATCCTGCAGGATCTGGATGACACTGGCCTTCATTAGAACACAAATGGTTTGCTGGGCAAGTAGGCGGTCTTGCTACATGAGAAAAAAGGAAGTAAAAAAAGTTAGATGTATAATAGCTAATAGACGGTTGACACGTGTGGCACATGCGCACTCAAGGACAATTTGTCAAACTACAAACATCAATTACATATGCAGAGGTAATTGATACAAAATTACCGATAAGGGTTCGGCCCGCGCGCTTTCTAAACCTCCAGCATACCGTATCTATTCTATTAACCGCCCTGGGCGCTTATTAAATTTTGGACCTTGAGAGTGGGCGCTTATTAAATTTTCACATTTTCAGCAAGTGAAGTATCTTTATTTTGCAACAAAGCAATAAATGCTAATAACAAAACGCGAAGAAGTAACAAAGCAAGTTTTCTGTAAACTACCAATGCTCTGCAGAAAACTCCGTCCTGGGGGAAGTCTCTTATTAGAATTTATTCACTCAAGTGGGTGGGGTGGGGGGTGAGCGCTTATTTGAGTTTGATTGGGAGGAGGACGGGGTGGGCGTTTATTAACTTTTTCTGCCTTTAGGATAGGCGCTTATTCGAGGTGGGCGCTGATTCGAGGTTGGGCACTTATTCGAATAAATACGGTAAATAGACGTCCTCAGACTGATTGCTATAGTGCATATAAACTAAACAGGACTAAACTGTCGGTGACTCACGTCCGCAAGGATCATCCTCATTGCACTTGGCTTTTGAAACAGGTTTATCAAGGTACCGACAAAATACATCCGCTATGACAGTCAAATTCCCAGCTTCATCGACTCGAGAGCAAGAGACACTTCGCTGTATCGTCGCAACTCCGCACTTCAGAGGACACTGCAAAGGAACAACACAAGCAGTGAACACCATGCCAGTGATCATGCCATCATTTTTTCCTGCATATTTTCTTAAAATTGGACCTTTGTTTGTTTGTATGTTTTTTGACGGGGGTCCCTCAAATGTCTACTTATTACTGGCAACCTTCATCATTTTTGTAACAATTGCTCATTACAATTATTCTGCTTTCTATCACAGGATCTGACCCTGTTCAATTCATTTAACACGAGAAATTTAGAATCAGAGAAGCTGCCGCACTGACGATACTTACCTGTTAAATAAATTTAGGAAGATAAAATTTCCATTAAAGCAAGAAGTTTACCTTTGACCAGTTTCCCACAATCCATTGCGGAGAGCATGGGTATTCATTGCAGAACCGAACAAGGACGGGGGGTGGGTTGGGTCTTGGATCTTTACATGTGTCATTTTCTCTGAGTGAAGTTTCGTTAACTCGTTGAAGGCACGTTGTGGTATGCACTTGCTTGCCTTTGCCACAGGTTTTTGAACAAGGTCTCCACTTCATCACCCACCTACAAAATACGAAAATGATTAATGAACGAATATGTAACTAGTATGGCGACCGAGTAGGGTTAAGGATGTGGTTAAGTACATTTTTAAAATTTATCACGTGATATATCCCATGGCTTTGGGAAAAAACTTACTTTGCTGGACAAGGTTGAGTATTGCACGGTTCAGTTTCTTCAGGAGGTCCCCCACATGCGGATGCATCAACCGGACTTTGGTCATCTTTAACAACGCACCATCGGGTTCGTGTTCTGATTCCTAGAAAAAAACTTTAATATGGTAAATGTGGCAATATATAGCTCCATACATGTTGGCAAGTATTGTTGAGAAGAAGAGCAGATAGTCAGTACTAACTTTGTTCATTCGCTCAAAGACGACAAACTGGTGTCGCGTAATTAAATGATGCAGCATCACGTTTGGGGGATTACTTATCTGAGTCAAACCTCGCATTGAATAAAGCTAAAACAAAGTGGATGCTTGTTTCCACTTGCCAGATGTCTCGAGCTCACGCGTTACACGATTATTATCCGGCTGTGAGCTGTAATAGGAAGTTACTAGAACGTGTCACCACAGCTAAGATGCTGGGGGTCCACATGGACGAACATCTAACGTGGCTGACCACGTGACTGCACTTCTTTCATCCTGTTATGCAGCATTGGCTGTTCTCCAGAAACTGCGCAACCTCGCACCATACCGTGTTCACAAGCAGTTAGTGGAGTCATAAGTGATGTCAAAACTGGACTACCGGCGTGTTGTCTTCTATCCCCTCCCAGAATACCACATGAAATGGCCCCAAAGAGTTCAAACAAAATGCGCGGGCTACGTACTTGGGCGGTATGCTGTTTTAGAGGACTTGTAGAAATTAAACTGGCTTCCAATTATTAAAAGGCGAGACCTAGCACTATTGAGAATTACTCGGAAAGCCCTCTACGATGATTTTTGGCCTGATTACTTACGCCCTAAATTCCATACTGTCAGTGCCTATAACTTAAGATCACTTTTCACTTTTCAGGACTCAGCAGCGAGATTATTTTATAAGTTACCTTATAGGTTATGGCAAGAGCCTGACTATAACAAGTTTGTTACGTTAGCGAAGAACCTCATGTTCTCCGTAGGAGAAAGCGTATGCCTGACCGATTATTATTATTATTATTATTATTATTATTATTATTATTGTTATTATTATTATTATCTCGCAGTATAAAACTTTGGAATGCTGTCCACATTATGAGTAGTATCGGGCGCATAACGTAACCTACACCACTTGAGAAGCTATACTTAGAAGAAAAAAAAGGTCGGTATGAAACCTAATACAATCCTAATATACATAATGATATGAATCTCTCTACTTAAAAAGCCAATTTAGAATATTATTAAATTCTTATAGTCTGTAAAACCTACGCAAAGACATGATGATATAATTGTCTCTACTAGAAGCCTATTTAGAAAATTCTTCAGTTTTTATACCCTCATTATAACTTATATACCTAAACGAGGCCATCATAATGTGGTTATCTCCACTAAAAGCCTATTTAGAATAATATCAAACTCTAATGCTCTATAAAACCTAAGTAAAAACATCAGTGCTCTCGCACCTAGTAGCTTCCTCACCGACCTCTCTAGGTGTTTAGAGTAACCAACCAGTACGTCAATTATTACGTTGTACTGTTGAACCCTGTAACCATTGTATCTCTGCTTCAGCTCCCACATCATGGGCCCATACTTGAGTGTCTTTTCCCCATCTTTCTTAGCTCTACTCATTATCCATGGGCAGCTCATTTCAATTGTGCAGACTTCTTTCCTCTCGTGGCTGACAAGTCGCGCGTCGATCAGATTTGCTCTAACTTCGTTGTGCTATGCATAGATGGGAATATCCCAAAACGCCTCCCTCGTGGTGTTCTGGTAGGCTGGTTTTGGCATCACCGATGAGTACCATGGTGGAACCTCTTCTATTAACCCATACTCTCACAGGAGCTCAAAAAAAAAAACAGAATCGTCAAAGCTGCATTATGCCTGTATGGGTACTTGGTTTGTGCCAGGGAGGAACATCCAGCCATGTGCAAACGCTCTCAGCTACCTTCCCACAAAACTTGCATAGGACTTCGCCGTCGGTGGAAGTTTGCGTCTTCTCCTTTTGTGTAGAGTTTCGTAGGTAACAACTGCTTATACAGTTCATACATGCCCGCGATGGTATATGTAGGGGATGTAGCCCAACCTTTTAACCATGCAAAGCAGCTGGTTATGTTTAGGCTCTCATCTTCCCATCTGATACGGAATAACGTTCCTTGTCACTTTTTGTCTTTAGCGATCTCCAAGAGCTGCTTCTCTTGAGATTGCGTCAACAGATTACCAGCTCTAGGTGCAGTCACCACTTTTCCTTCCGTAGTAACACACACGGGATTGACAGTCTGGTCCGAATTCTGATACAATTTCAGTAGCGATTTCATTTTAGTGATCTTGTACTCGTGTTCGACTGATCGCAGTCCTCTACCACCTTTCTCCCTCGGTAGATAGAACAAAGAAGTTAGGCTAGCTGAGTGCTTGCCACCGTTCTCAACTATGATCTTCTGAGCTGCTCTGTCCACATCTCTTAACTCCGATAGAGGCCAATGCTATGTCCACATTAAGTACCGCAGCACCGGGAGTGCATACTGATTAGTTGCCTGTACACGGTTACAATCAGATAGGGGGCTGGACCATATAATAGATATCCTGCGTAGATACTCTTTAGCCGCACACGCTAGGGCCAGCTGTTCATCCTGTCGAACGTTCTCCACTACGCACAGGAATTTGTATGGTTTTCCCTTCCCAAGAGCCGTGATGGTAGTTGTCTCGTCCATCCTCATACCAGACTCGTCTAGCACTTGGGCTCCCCTCTTCACGTGTACCACTGAGCACCCATCCTTTCATCAACAAAAACGCGCAAACCACCGAGTATAGAACGTAGTTAGCTAACCACAGAAAACCAAACGGGTTCTGCGTAGATGTTACCTCGTAGCGCTCGCTTGGTTGATTTCTCTCTGTCTTTTGTTGATGTCGTTTCCTTTGTCCTGGTGTCAATGTCACGTTGGGAATAGTCTCCAGGGTGGGTGCTAATTGTTTCCATTATCCTGTTTCCTGGCTCTAAAAAGCTACACCTTTCATGATCACCGTTGTTAAGCTGTTGTTCTTGGGTCAAGGTTGTATGCAAATCCGGTTCTGAGAAAAGATCACCATTGTCACGCTGTTGATTTTGGGTCAGGATTGTATGCAGATTCGGTTCTTCTTGATCAGCAGTTTTTGCTATTTGGCGTCCGTTGCTTAAGTCCCCTGCTGCGTTATCTCCCCCTCTCTTCGTTTTTATTCCGTTAGTGATAGTACTAGTTACATTGCCTAAGGATTTTTCAAGTCGAGCGGCTTGGTCTCGTAAATTCTACTTTGTGAACCCCATATCTTCGTGCCCCATTTGATCCTATAGTTCCTTCATAAGTTCCATATACCCCTTTCGTCTTCCATTGTCCTTAACTGGCGGATTCTCCGATTTTGCGAGTAATAGCGCTTGCCGCTTGCACTCCTACAGATTTGCTGTTCATCTGTTCATTTGTTATTATTATTATTATTATTATTATTATTATTATTACAACCACGCTTTCTTTTAATTGTACATATTTTTTTATCGAACCTTTTTTATTATCTCCTTTATTGTCTCGTCTCGATGAATATTATATGACTTTCCTTTTAGCTTGCTGTACTTGTTCTTAATTTATTGCATAAATCATTTTTAGTTTAAAACCGGCTTGATTTTTTTTTGCAAAAATATACTGTAGTTAGTGCATTAGTAGGCGAAGAGCCACTTCGTGGAAGTGCTACTAATAAAATCGCTATTATTATTATTATTATTATTATTATTAAATGTTTTAAGCTCAAGTTCCGCTATCAGTGACAGCCTCAGGTAAAGGTAGCTGCCAGATATCATTGTACAGTTGTTATTTACATGTTCCAGAACCTTAAGTCAGTATAACAAGAAATAATTTGTGAATAAGTCAGTGTAACAAGTTTCACCAAGAGGTTGTTCAGTCCCCGGGTATTTTGCTGGAATGTTCAGGTATCCATTCGGGAGCTAATCTAAAGAACAAAAGTACAGGTTTTAGCCGAAAAACCTGTTCATTTTGTTATGTTAACTGGCAGTTTTATGATATTATCAGCTCACCATCTTGAATGTAAAAACAACTTTAGGAGCCCAGAATTTAGTCGACCAGAACTTTCGAGAAGCTTTCTCGTGGGCAAACACCTTTATGCTACATTCTCGAGTAGCCGTGGTACAGTATAGCCTGAGCTGCGTCCTAGACGTAATTTAACCCCGATTAGTAAAGTCTGCGAAGCAGCGGCGATATCCTTGTTCTGCGTACTCAACAGACTCTATTAATTGCCGGAAATGCGTTTCGAATTTCCCTTCAACCTGATTGGCAAATTGACGATGGCATTTTTAACAGTCCAATCATATCGCGTACTCAAATCCTAGTACACAGGTATCGTAGACGGATTTAACCAGAGGTTAACTGTCGTCTGTGGCGCAGGCCAGGTACAGGATATAGTTAACAAAAGAAGTTGGGTTAATTGAAGTGGATAATTACCTGATGCACAAGATTTGGAGCAGCCTGACCAATTCTCATTAATCCAATCAAACTCAACAGGCAACCCAGGTTGAGGCACTCCAGCCGCTAGCAGAGGGGGTATGATAAGGGTGTATTTCACTCCTGGATTAATAGACTGATCACCTTTTCTTATGTACTGAAAAAAATCACATAGTGCTTAAATTGAATTTGAGCATTGAAAATCGCTCAAAAACTTCTCTGTTCCCTGAAAATGTAACTTATACATTATTCCGTTATTCTCTCCGTTGGAAAAATAATTCCGCCTGTTATTTCTTCCTTCAGGTTTAAAAGCAACGGTTTATTTGTGAAGACAGGTGCTAGCTTTCACATTAAGCACAAACCATACTAGAAAAACATCAGCTTAAGAGCGAATGTAGCTAATAATGCTAATGCTTGAAAAAAGTGGAACTGCTAAAACGAAACCTTCCTTCATACTTTGTGTGTAGTTAGTTCTTCAGATGAAACTACTCACTTTGACAGTTGTTTGACTTGTAGCAAATCCCTGCATTTTTAAATTCTTGTTTCAGTAATTCTCGTATTACTTACCATTACCCTTAACGTGGCGTTTGTTGGTCCCGTTATGTGAATGATGTCCTTGCCCTTGGGTTTGTGGAAGTATTGTATCTTTGAGCCAGAGAACTCTTTGACCTGATTATTGCCCAAATGCCCGCCAACCAAATATGTTCCAAAAGCATCCTGCACACCTGGAAACAACAACATCGACAACGGTAAGTAACTTTCGGATTCGTAATTATAGGTTATCGAAAAACAGGTTTCCACAGATTTGCTATGTGCAAGTGTTACTTAGAGCCGACGCTGTCGTTGCAGAACGCCGCAGGGAGCCCCACAGGGAAGGATATAAAGCTTTCTCAACTCAAGCTAACAGCTTACTTCTACGGTTCCTCTTTTAAGCGACTTGTAAGCCAACATAAAAGGTTACAGATGGCCGCTTACAAGAGCTTGCACCACTGACGTAAAACATTGTATGTAAAGCAAATACAGCACCACCATATTAAATGATCCTTTTATAATTAAATGTAAATGCACTCAGTACTACATTTTACTGTTATAATGTTTCCTTTTTTACAGTGTTCACTTTAGACCTTGTCAACACGTTGAAAGGAAAGGAAGAAAAATATTTTAAGTTACAATAATTCTTATTTCTATCATAGTTTTATTTTAATTACATTACATCTAAGAAAAAACCAAAAAGGAATTGACGGAAAGTGGAAAGCATTTAATTTTAAAGGAAAATTCATTAGTCATCTTCTCTTTGTAAGATATCGGAAAGCGATCCGTGGAGAATTTTCGTAAATTCCTTTTAAGGAGGATCGCTAATATGAAAAGGTATCTCATTGCAAAGTTTTAAGCCAAAACGCGACAAAGAGTTTTTGTGTATTTCCAGCTTCGAGCTTTTAACGTGAAAGATACCAGAAGTAGATGATCGTGCATTGTATGAATTAATTGTTGAGGTTTTTTCGAATTGTTGTTGTTAATATCGTGCGCATTAGACCAGCTACAGTTTTATGTTACGTAAATCTCTCTGGTAATGTGTCAACGTCGATAAATAGAGGAATTGTACATGTGTTCACGTATATCCGTAAAATGGCACATTATAGGATTGTAAGAGTACATAGCTTTTATGGGGTGTTGTAAAAGTTGTCGTTCGCAGAGCTCCCTACTTGACAGGAAGCCAAGTGACCAAGTTTTTCCCTTAATTGTCGTTAACTGTTTATTACTTCAACTGGAAAATAGGTAGTTTCACGCCAGTTTTATACATAAGAACTGTTCTGAACAGTTTTATCTGCTTATTTTCTATTCTGAGAAATTCTCAACTTGAATCTGAAGTTTGCCGTTTGGCGTAAACGGGGAACTTAATCTCTCTATTAGATTGTGGTTAATACAAAAATAAGAATACTTTCTGCAAATTGAAGCTATTTTTTCTAAAAAAGATTTATTGAAGGCTAAATCTATTCAAAGATACAGTCATAAATTACACCTAAAGCCTTAGGCTGATGATGTGCCATGAACTGGCTAGGACTGCAGGCAAAGTTGGGATAAGCAGACGTTTTAATTCGTTCCCCTCTTAGTAGACTCCGCTTGCCCTCCAAATATTTGAAAAAAATGTAAAACAACAGAAATGAAATAAAATATAATTGTGGAGGAGCGAAATCATTGAATTGTGGAGAACCAGGATGGGGGAGAGGTAAGAAAAAAATTAGTTTTGTCTTTGAAGGAGCTAGTTTGCATTCGTCTTCGATTTGTTTTCTTCAACGGACAATGGAAGCGGTAGGAAATAGAACTTGCATAATCACTTTACGGCTCAGTAATCTTGAGTCAAAGGTGACACCATGCTGACCAAATAAGGACATGACCCCTAATAACTTACTAAAGTTAACTAGAAAACCTGTCAAACCATCAACAAATAGAACATACATCTCATTTTTCTCAGGAGATAAACAGAAAAGGTTTTACGGCGTCATAGAAGTTGAAGTAAATTTTACCGCAAGTCAGTATGAAATTCCACCACAGCAAATAGTAATAATAATAATCATAATAATAATAAATATAGAGCTATTCAGCTACCCTTTCACAGCACTTTACAATGATTACACTAACGTAAAAACTAAAAGCTAAAAACATACCGAGATGAAATAATTTCAAAGCTTTAAGATATTAATACATGTACAATAAATAAAAATATATATAACTTTAAGACAAATTTACAGATAATTAAAATGTAAATAAGGGTACTGGAAATAAAAGTTACACGTGATAGCCTTCTTCAAAAAGATAAGTGTGCAAATGTTTTTTCTTTTTCTTTTTTTTTTACAAAATAGCAATTGATAGAGATTTGCGAACAGTAAGAGGCAAGTCATCACATAGCCATGGTGCAGCAGTGCTGAACGCCCGGTCTCAATAAGTCTTTAAGTCTAGCCAGTCGCAGAGTGAGCAGTTCACGGCCACTGGAACGTAGTCACTGAGAGAACTTTCGATGACTTAGGAGAATAGAAATATAAGAAGGTGCTTTGTCGTTGAGTGCTTTATAGACTAATAACAGTAGCTTAAAAATAATACGGGATTGTACAGGTAGCCAGTGTAGCTTGAACTATATTGGGGTAATTGAATCATATTTCCTTGTTAACGTGACAAAAAGGGATAATTCGGTCCCTACTTTACTACTTAATTACAAATAAACTGCAATGTACTTACCAAGATAATTAGTAGTAGCTTCTTTCATTTCAAATTTAGCAAATCGAGTTCCTGGGAGTAGTGTAACAATCGGTGAAGCGTTACCAGGACCTAACGTCAACGAGTTAAAAAAGAGTATCTTCAATTGATGCTGATATTTTCCTCTTTTATTGTTTGCCAGCTAAGGACGAACCAGATTTCCCGAGCGGGTCTTGGAACAACTAATTGCAAATAGATTGCATAATGTATCAAATTAAATCATTCAATATAGCCTGTCTCTTGAAATATCATACTGCAAGTCATACAACGACTGAATTATATGCTTACCACTTGTTGCCGGGATATCGGTGTATTCCCTCGATACCTTTGTGCAGGTACTCGCATTACCTCCACATACACCGCAACGATCAAAACGTCTTTTACTGTCCACTCGGTTATCACAGCCAACAATCTGCAGATGTTCGAAGTTCGGTTAAGCGCATGAGTACGCATAGTATAACATATGCCGAAGACTTTGCCCTTCTTCAGTTCCTTTCAGTTTGTTTTTAACTTCCCCTTGACTCATCGATAAATGTTCAGTTACGCTGGATGCATTTTAATTATAACGGAAGTAAACGTTACTCCTCTAAATTAAGAAAAAACTTTAAAACTAAAATGATAATTGAATAGTTTTTCGTTCTTGAAGAAAGCCACTTAATACATCAGGTGACAAATCCAATCCGAAACTGTAAAAGCGGGTTAAAAATGCAGAGTTCACTGTTTCCTTTGGGACTTACTTAAGTTTATTTTGTAATAATAATAATAAACTGTTTATTTATTACCATTGCAGTTAAAAAGACTGAATTACAGGGATAAAATACAGGCTTAAAAAAATTTACACTATTTAAAAACGCTTGCCTTGCTACTGATATTCATTTATTTCCTGTAATTTGTTGATTCTTAACAAAATTTTAAGTTTACGTTACCTGGTTTTCTTGGTACGTTTTGCCTCGAAGAAAATTGCTATTATATTATCAATAATTCTAAATAATGTACAACTTGATTTTAAACTGTATCTATGAATTGAAACTCCGTTCACAGCGACATCATTATAAAAAATCGCAAGTGAAGATAATCGAAATTAATCGAAATGTGGGTTGTGGTGAAGCAAAACTTGCTGTTCATTTGCTATGTTTGTTTTGTAATAATTATTGTTTTGCTGAAATTCGATGTAAAGTTAAGACTATGGAAAACCCAATAATATTGCATATAAATGGCGATTGAAGGGAAAAAAATAAGGATGAACTCACTCTGCAAGATCCTTGTACACAGATAGCGGAATACGTCTCAGTTTGTCGACAAATGGCTCCATCTGGCATTTGACCAATCGGCCTAGCAAGAGACCAACCCTTTCGGCACCACATTTGGCAAGCTAAAAAAGAAGATAATGCAAACTGGAGTGAGTATCTGGACTTTCTGTTTATGACGGAGATACAATTTTCGGCCCGTTAAACTTACAAAGACATACCATGGAGGAATCAATCAATCAATCTTTATTTATTTATTTATTCACGGTAAAAACTTATTCGGGTATCCAAAAACGTGTGAATCTTTTTACAAGTATACTAGCTACAAGTCAGTTATAAGTTAAAATCTAAGTAGTAATTACGTTAGTACAATTATACATCAAAGTTAAAGCTTAAAGCCTGGAACATGAATGCTTGTAAGTTTAAAATACCTAATACAGATTGTGAATGTTTCAAACTTTAATTTAAAAAATGTTGAAGGAAGACAAAACGGTTTGCAAACAAACGTGACTGTCTGATACAAATGTAGGTCTGAAAATGACTATTTTTGTTAAACATTATACGCACTTACGGCTACGCAGGTAGTAATTGTCAAAACCATCTGTTCGTTTGCTACAAGCATTCTGCCTAAAATTGAGGGCTGTAACATTACGTTGACATACCTACAGACCATTAAAAAAATATCTTTTCAATTTGTAGACTCATAATTGGCTGCAGCAAGTAAGCGTTTGTTAACGAACTAGCCTCATTTTTAGTATCTCGCTCCCCTTATAGCTTCAATCCTTTCTCCCGCTGCTTCACCCTAGATGTGAAATACAAATTACCTACGACAGGACTAAATATGTACTAAGTAGGGTTTGCATTTCATGCAAAACAACTGCATTCCCTTGGCGGAAAAATCTAATACCGTAGATTTAACTGCTATCAAATAAACAAGTCAAATATGCTCTTTTCATTTGCCCATGCAGTACACTCCATTGTACTCTCCCTTGTTTAGATCTTTAATATACGAAGACCCATCGCTGTCTTCCCCATTCCGAGAGACACTTCATATCTTATCACCTGCAGTGTCGCAGTTTACCAACATACGGTTCCCACTTTAAAATAACCAAACTTCCAAAAATCTTTTTAACAGTGGCAGTTGCTAAAACACTGGACAGAGGGGCGCCGATCGTGTATATAATTCGTGCTAGTATACATACAGGGCTCGCCGTAACCATAAATTTCTGCTACTTGGGCAACTAAAAAACAAAACACAACCCAACACAGTAGTAGTAATGTGCAGGTATAAACGTAAAAACCTTCATTTGACAGGTTCTGTATTCCTTGTTTGGTCCTTCACAGCTGGCCTCAGCCACCGGTCTGCAACAACAACAACGACAAATTTTCTTTAAATCTTTCAGTTATAGAAGACAATTCTTTATGCCAGTAATTAGCTCCTGAGCTCGTCAAAACGGGTACAAGAGAAGATCAAGATGTTACGGAAATGCAGTTAAAAACAGAATAGAAAACTGATTGCAAAACACACACACTCAACCGATAGCTAACTGTAAGTCCGGCACCATGTAGTAGTTTTAGTTTTTTCGCTCGTCGCTAGTACCACATTTCACATCATTGTCTTTTTTAGCGTTGTGCTCAAATCGGCACATATTCTGCACCTAGGAGTAGCATTACGGGTAGTTCCTATTTTTAATGTCCGTTAAGAACCCAGTGAGACAGAGATCGTACATTTAAGTTGAAAATGTTTAACCACACAACTTATATGAAACACATTTTGTAGCTAAATGTAGCGGACTGAACTTATAAATAGAATAGAGCAATATTCCGTGCTCCACATTGAATAAAGATTTCATATGTTTTTATTACCCAAAAATTTTTGTTTGAAAAAGAAGATACAACGTACCAAATTTTATTTCAGCGCTTTTTGTGATGATTGTATTTTGAAATGTTGTTCTAAAGTTAAAAAAGTTAAAGAATAAATAGTCTTACTTGATGCACTGTCTGCTTCTATGCTGAACCTGTTGAAATCCATTCCCGCACTCACCACTACAAACAGAATAGCTTCCCCAGTTGGACCATTTACCAGGTCCCTTCGGGGGCATAGTTGGAAAACCCATTCCACGGTCGCTACATCTTCCTTTTATACACCACTGCCAAAAGATATTTCCGAAAGAAAGAATGGGAATGCCATTTAATTTGATTTATTCTGTGGTTACTCAAAAAAGTAAATAATGCGAGTGCTAAGACATGTAAGAACTATTTATTTACTTTTTAAAAAGGGCCGTAAGTAATTCAACGTAAATAATTTTTTAAAAAACAATAAGCCATTTGCACGATGACGTTCTTTTAACTACTACGACCAGAATCCTTCAGGGTTTTGATTTCTTGTGCAAATAATAAAATGATAATAATAATAAATAAAGATTTAGAGGCAGTACATCTACTTTTGTTACTTAAACCTCGCTGGGATTACCAAAATTAAATATAAAGGAAAAACGAAAGGGCTTCTAGTTACATCAAGTAAAATGATGTCATTGTGCCAGTGGCCTAGTACGGTGCTTAACGTTTGAGTGTGGAAATAAAACTGAATAACGTACGAAAATTGGATACAGAATGCAAATGAAAACAATTTAAAACATGGGTCGGCCTACCTCGTTAGGTCCACATTTCGTCCCATCAGCGACCACGACAAATTTGGTCAGTAAAGTATAATCTTTGATGCATTTTAAATGCGCGCACTGATGCTGAAACATAAATAAAAGAACATAAAAATAACATACTTGCCATCTGTGGAGACAGAGATAATATTACATGATTAACAAGTCTTACAAAATAAGGCTGCCAAAGTTATCCTTGATTTGCCCAACTATGCTTCATCTACCGACGCTCTCAAAACACTCGGATGGCCTACTTAATCTCAAGAGCCCCATTTAAATAGATACATTACCACTTTTAAGTACATCCACGGACTTGCCCATCACAATTTTAATATTTTGAGATTCCTCTCGTTTAAAGGAAATATGGAAAGCAGAGATATTTTTATCAATGCCCTAAGGAATGGAACTTTTTAGACGCATATTTTTAAAAAAATTAACTCTCTTCTTCTTATTAACTGGAACATAAAAAAACGCTGTATATTTTAAGATATTTTATAGCTTTTAATATTTTAATCTATCTAACATTTTAACATTTTTAACCTGTAGCTTATATTAGTTAACTTTTTAGTTCTTAACGTTTTACTTATTATTACTAATACATACTCATTTATCTAAGATCATTTATTTTTCTATTGTTTTACAGCGCCTCACTGAATATCACTCTTTGTGAAGTGAGCTCCCTGTATAAAGATTGTTATTATTATTATTATTATTATTATTATTATTATGTTTGTGTAATATTTCTTCCAACGAGGACAGCCGCATCAAAACCGAGTAAAATTCGTCAAACAACGCTCACCCTAGTCAAAATTAAATTACATTGAACTGTTGTGCTGATTTCCAAAAAGTTTGGGGAGTTGGGATTATTCAAAGGGAGCAGGAAAGAAGATGTGGCAAGAGAAGAGATTTTCCTCTACTCTCTCCTCCCTGTGATCTCAGCTAGGAAGGTGGTGATTGTCAGCTTGGGAGGTGGTGATTGTCAACTAGGGAGGCAGTGATCGTCAACTAGGGAGGCAGTGATCGTCAGCTAGGGAGGCGGTGTTCGTCAGCTAGGGTGACTGTGATCGTCAGGTAGGGAGACTGTGATCGTCAGCTAGGGGGCAGTGATTATCGGCTAGGGAGGAAGTGATCGTCAGCTATGGAGGCAGTGATTTTCGGCGAGGGAGGCAGCGATCGTCAGCTAATAAGGAAGGTGGGGATTGTCAGCTAGGAAGGCAGTTATTATCAGCTAGGAAGGCGGTGATCGTCAGCTATGGAGGCAGCGATCGTCAGCTATGGAGGCAGTGATTTTCGGCGAGGGAGGCAGCGATCGTCAGCTAATAAGGAAGGTGGTGATCGTCAGCTAGGAAGGCAGTTATTATCAGCTAGGAAGGCGGTGATCGTCAGCTATGGAGGCAGCGATCGTCAGCTAGGGAGGCAGTGATCGTCAGCTAATAAGGAAGTTGGTGATCGTCAGCTAGGGAGGCAGTTATTATCAGCTAGGAAGGCAGGTATCGTAAGCTTGGGAGGCAGTGATTGTCGGCTAATAAGGAAGGTGGTGATTGTCAGATAGGGGGGTAGTGATCGTCAGCTTGGGAGGCAGTGATTAGCAGCGAGCGAAGCTGTGATTATCAGCTACGGAGGCAGTGATCGTCAGCTAGGGAGACTGTGATCGTCAGCTGGGGAGGCAATGATTTTCAGCTGATAAGGAAGGTGGTGATTATCAACTGGGAAGGCAGTGATCGTAAGCTAGGGAGGCAGTGATCGTCAGCTAGGGAGGCAACTTGGCCAGACAGTTAAAGCCATTACTTGAAATTCAGAGGCTCTTGGTTAAACTCTCACCCTGACCGCTATATAGCTGGATTGTTCTCGGTAGACACAAGTTCGAATCTTCGGCCATGCTTGTTAATGCCCAAATGGTTTGTCTCCTACTAGCCTGTATCCTTGACTCCGTTGCAAAACCTCTTAAGGAGATAATTGAGCATTTCTAACTATTTATCGTCTAGATAATGAGTTTACGGATAATTCAACCGCATTTAGCCTATTAATAACGCCCTCTTCTTTCCCTCGATTCCATTTACCACAACCTCGTTCACAGGCCTTCTTTTCGTCCACTGCAGAAACTAGGGCTTAATTATGCGAAACTTTATATACAGCTGCCTTAATTGATATTACAAATTGATTTATTTTAAGTCTATGATGAGTGTACCGTTGTCAAATTGATCTAATACAGATTGATACAGCGAAATATTTCAAGACAGAATTCATGAGAACATGAGTTTCTGCATGATTGAAGACATGAAGAATCAAACTAGTCAGTTGTACCGTTTCAAATCTTTTCCAGCCTTTCCCATAATGTGCTTCACACTGTCTATTACCATCAATTATTTGACCAGGAAGTTTATCGCGAAACTCAAGAGGAAGGGAGGGACCATCCACAGTGGGTCCATCATCGAGACAATGTGACCTTTTGCTGAGAAAATAATATGTAGTTTTAGTATGAATCAAAGGTAAAAAACAGAGTCGGGTAACTTGGCTGACTGATAGAGAGAAAATTGAGCAAACTCTATAACGGATTGATAAGGGGATGAGTTGATTGGAGAGTGGCTAGGTTGAGAGATGGGCACGTGATTAAAAACTGGCTGGGTGGGTGTTGTAACTGGGTGCGCGGATGGATGTATAGAAGATGGACGTGCTCTGCCATATTGACACATATATTGATGTCTATTGAGGTATCAATGAAATATTGAAGTAAACGAGACAAGTTATAGTTGCTAAACATGCCTGTTAGAGAGGAATGGTTGAATAACCTTCCTAGAGCATTCGGACCACTCTGATGCGTGTTCTCCTCCAGGAATAGTACCGCTCATTATGCGTCCTCCACAGTAACCACCATCATGACCAAGCCCCAAGCTGATTTAAAAAACATGTCATTATTAACAATAATTTATCAAAGGTAGAGGTGCTCAGTCTAGCAAATGGAAGTTTGAGTGGCTCTATATACACGACTCCACGAAAATATAACATGAAATATATAAAAGGTGGTTAATTACACAAAACATAAAATAATGATAGTGAATTTTATATAATTAACATTTGAATCTCACGGCAGTTCTTTGTTACCCTGACCTAAACAGCCTACGAGTCAATGGGTAAATAATCAGTAAGTGCGTGGACACCAGAAATTTCATAATTTAACCGCTTTTAACTTTAGGTTACGGTTATCTGGTATATAAAAAATGGATCTTACATAGACACGAAGTGACGCTAGATCACAGTTTCAGTAGGTTGAACTGTCGGTAACTGACCATAATAATAATAATAATAATAAACTTTATTTATATCCTGGGAATATTATTTATATCATGGGAAAGTCCAGGGGCGCGGCTACTAAGGCCCCATTTATATGGAGAAGGTAGGGGAAGAAGTGGGTCACTCGCCTGCCCTAGCTACCCAGGGTGAACCAACTTTTATCTTTTTTTAACTAATGTAAAAGCTCGCGTAAACTAACTCTGTTGGGAGGGTGACCCTTCTACTAGAGGAAAGATTTCTCCATAGCAACGGGGCCTAAATAACACAGATCATTCCTTCTTCGCTCAACAGACTTCCATACAATCCAATAGATAGATAGATAAATAGATAGTTTATTAATAATCACATTGTAACTGGAAGTTGAATTAGGTGATTATTTGCAAATGAATATAATTACTTAAAAAATATAACTTTATAGAAATATACAAGAACCTACTACTAGAAAGTCTAGAAAACGCTATATGAATGCAAAAATAATATTGTGATTTGTTAAAAAAATAGAAATATAGAAATGTAATAAAAAGTAATTCGAAAAATTGTAAAACTATACTAAGTAAACTATTTAAGCCCTGAGGGCATTGAAGGTAATAAAGCTACTCCGACATCTGACAATACATCTTCTTACCCTCAAGAATCTTTAACCAATTAAGGTGGCTGAACACAGTTTTGGCAGTTTTTGAGTGTATGTCATTTGCCAAATCATGGCAAGAGAAAGGTTGCAGCTCACAAGCTGAAACTTGGCAGGTGAAAAATATACTAATAAAAGATTGTGATTGACAGGTAAAATTTGACGTTTTCGTAGTTTCCATGGCAACATGAACGATTGAATACAACCTTAAAATTTCACTTTTGTTCAGTTTACATAAAATTCGCTCATTAGATTTTCCTATAAACTTGTAGACAGCTTACTGTAACTAATCATTACCATTTGAAACTTATTTGATCAAATTTTAACAGACGGACTTTTAGATAATCAATAATATAATTGTACTGTAATTATTAAATTTGTCACGAAATTCGTCTGTTCAACTTCCATTTTAAAGTTTTCATTATCTAAAATACGATAAGAGTAAAAATTCTGCCAAATATCACAAAATTTTAATAAGTAGATTTTGAGAAATCGTCTTCTGTGTATCATTGCTTTTTCGCCGTCATGTTTGTTTGTCTAATTAAAAACACGCGCGGTCACGCGAGTTACCGCTGACCGCCCGCAAAACTGTGTTCAGCCGATTGCATGCTCTAGCCTAGATCGCGTGAGAGATGGATACCTCTCCAAGTGATGGGTCTCAAATGGGCAGATTTACTTACTTGTGTCCTGTTTCATGGGCAATGTGGAGTGCCGTTTGAAGACCCTTGTCATGATTTAGATTTCCAGTAGGCCCTGTACAGATCCGATTATAAATGGCGCGACCTAAATGGAATTAAATGGTCGGCAAAAACTGATCGCTTTCACAAGGTTCGGCTGCCAGCTCGTATACAAAAACGTGTTGCGACTCTTTCCACTAAGACAGGTTTCTTCCGAGCGTATAAACGTCTATTATGGCAACCGTATCCGCATTTCCCAACCTCAATACTTATTGGAGAGTCGCGTTGCTGACTCTTACAATCTTTTGTCCACGTTAGTCATACTTGATATTGACAAGAAGCAAAAAAAATGAAAAAGCAGGCATGACTGTTTGTATGTACATCTAAAAGAGAATGTATCAAACATGCTGACCAGATCAAAAACTATAGTGTTGTATTGTAAAAACTGTCTTCCAAGAAATGAGAGCAAGTTTTCTGACAGTATTTTCATAAAATACCAATCATCATTGTCCTTTATTGACAATATGCCCCTCAATGAGATGAAAGTCTCAACAGCTTTGTTTTATTTCCAAAGAAAATATTTTGCCTTAACGTTAACTGAAACTAGCGGTAATTCAAGGGCAAAGAGAATATAACATCACGAGAGAGTCTCGGCGACCCTCAGAAAACTAAAAAAATTACTACGACTTACCTATACCCTCAATATGACTGAAAGTAAAGAAACGTTTAAATGTAATTAGATATAAATGTTAATAATCCAATACAAATAAACTTGCATAAATCAACAAACCGTCAGAATTCTTACTTTGACACGTAACTAAAGACATCGTAGGGTACTCTGGATGCTTTATTGTCTTCTTTAATTTTGGCCGCTAAACTCATCAGCTTCGGTATCGAAGAATCACTCAAGTTGAACTTATACTGCAATAAAGATTTTAAAATAATGGAGGTCGTTTAACAGTGTTCATTGGTAACGGTATCTGGAGACAGTTCTTCTGAAAATTGAAAAATTCAACAGCACCAGAATCTACCAAGTGTGGCGTTAATTTCGTCATCACCAAATTAACTTGAAATCACAAGTTGCAGTTTTGATATCTTGTTACATTCAAACCCTTTGAATGAAACTACATGATAGTCAGTCTTATGTCCCACAAGCGCTTCATTATTGTCCAAAGTTACTGAATTTTAAGTAAATTCCTCAAAATTTATTATAAATGGTTTACGTTTCAAAATGTATACATTGCTCAATATTAATAAATTTGTCAATTAAAAAGGGCTAAAATTTAAGAGGAAACTTAGGTAAAAGTTAAGGTATCACCCAAATCACATGCAATGTCGAGATATATTACACAGTACCGAAGTGACTCTAATATCTTGACTACTAACAGATGACTACACCTCCTCTGCCAGCTCAATTATATTCTTAGTACCTGCGCGGGATCTATCTCGGTAACGTTGGTGATCACATAGGTAATTTTTATCTTTCCAATCGAGGGGTCTTGAAACATGCCAGCCACCTAAGAACATCGTAAAAGACATGGATATAGATATATAATTATAAACTTCACGTTCCTCCCATCAAAATTTAACCAAACTAAACAATAAAAATAATACCAACTATCAGATGACAAATGAAGTAATTTCAGAGATTTACAACAGTTTGATCAACCAGGCCGGGACTTGTCAAAGCCTTGTATACGTTGTTTATCCTTTCTGTGTAGCTGCAGATTTACTATGGAACTTTTCTTTTTCGTTTATCTTTGTTTCTGAGACGTATTCTATTTCAGCAAGAGACCTCACTGGTATCCTTAGTAAATAAAGCCATTTGCATGAAATTTTCTGCAACGTTCGGCAACCAGAAGAGGGGAAATAAATAGTAGTAATTAAATACTAAAGATACTGGCAATCTCTTACGTCTAGTTTAAAGATGGAACAACGTGATATGAGAAATAATACAGTAAAAACCAACCAACCAACAAACAAGCAAACAAACAGAATTACTAGGAGTAACTAGTTATTTGTTATTTTCTCGAATTAGTTTAAATGGGTAAGGAAAAAGAGGGCCGTAAAGGAGGAGCTACAGAGCTACAGAGGAGCTACAACAAGAATGACTAGAGAAATGCAAAACCAGTACTTACCATATTAGCAACAACTAACAGGTAATTTTCAACACCTCCCAGAGAACTGTATAAGGACTCACTGGAGTATTTCACCTTAAGAGGTGAAGGGTACAGTAACGCCACTTTTAGAGTCTTGTATACTGGGGTACTTGCTCTCACGGGCAGAGAGTCTTCAGTTTCCAAGGATCTCTTTGAACGGATATCGGCTTCATCTGTGAAATATGAAACAGAGCCGTTGGCCGTTTTGACATGGACAACAAAGAGTTAATAGATTAATAAATAGCAAAGTGGGTCCAAGGTAATGGACCCACTGTCTAACTGTTTTTTACTCCATTCATTGTCACTGACTGGTCGGTAGAAAGTTGGCAATATCTTTTACTAATAACTATATGCAATAAACCCATGCTCGATATTTTCGCCACCTTATTATCATCATCATTATTATTATTATCATTATTATTATTATTATTATTATTATTATTTGCCAGTTGATACTGCGCTGAAAGTGTGAACACAAACTAACTTGAACTGAAAAGAAAAGTATATTAAAGATAAGGAAGGAAAAGACAAAGGTCAGAAGACGTAAAAAGACACAAAACTTAAAAAATTGATTGATTTTTACCACTCTTTATGTTACACCAGGCATCGCTGTCTTCGAAAGACCTTCGATATACAAGGTGGGGCGTGGCATCTTTACTGCTCGTCACGTGCTTAGCCAAATGTGGAGGAAGAGGGTGCAGAAACAGCGTATCACGTGATGTTTTCACTAAGCCAGTCTGACAATGTAAATAATTTTCAAATGTCACTATCGCCTCAGTTATGACTTTTATGATTTCCCCGTCATTAATTTATTTTGCGCTCTATTGGATGAAGACCAATAGAAGACGTCTGGTTACGTCTCTAGAGTTAATAATTTTTAGTTTTTACTTACCAGACCCCCATCGTTGCTAAGTGCGACTGTAGAGCGTGGATCTGAAATAACATGTCCCAGATAAAAAGTGTTTGGCGGTGCTGGATGCGAAGTTGTTGTGCCGTCACCGTTTTGTCTCACTAGCTTCAGATCTGGAGCCAACAAGTGTTCGTTTCGTCTTAATCTCAAATGAAGTTTTGTACCAAATGTATCCAACTTATAATAGGAATTCTCGGCATAACGATCAGCGTCTCGTTTACTCCTGGCCAGGCTAGGATGTAGGGAATAAGACACGAAGTCTCCCTGATTATTGGACAGGTAAGGACTGGCGACATCATATGCAGGAACTTACAAAGAAAACCAATAAAAGCAGTTGTTCAGAGAGACAAAAAAAGGAAACCTTAATGCTAAACTTTAAAAGACACCGCAATCTACCTGCAAACTACTATTGCATGAGATGATTTGAACGGAGACTGCTGATGGAGTTATTGCGTAATTATGGACTCCAATACCCTGTAGAGACAGAGATTATCAACCTATTCCGACAAATTATTCTTAATACATTGTTATTAAAGTGCTTGAAGAAAACCGCCAAGCTACCTTGAATCGTCACCATAATTACCTTTATCATGATCTTCTACACCAAAGAAATGTTTAATTTCTCTTTTAGTCATATGGTGATGGAGATTCTGCTGATAACAAATGAAACCGTATAGAATAAGGACTTAAAATCACAGGCCCGTTCATTAAAGTCAAATACGCTAACTTCTTACGGAGTAACAGATTAGGATAACGGATTAGGATTTTTATCGGTCACTCTTTGTTATGAAAAACATAGCCGTCTGTGAAAAAACAATGAATATATTTCCCATCACCTCGCATGCAAAAATCACCAACTAAAACAGGGAGAACACCTAATACACTCCTTTTATCCACGTTTTACACATTTCATATATAAAATTGGGTATATCATGAGTGGGTTGAGTATGATCGTCCTGGTAAATGTAGTCCCCAATAGGACTGTTGTTGTTGACATAGACTGACGTTTCAACAACCTAGCGTGCAGTAGTCATCTTCAGAGTCAAAGTGAGTTGTATCACTTCAGTTGATGGTATTAAACTCTGGTTATTGATCGGATTGGTAAATTAAGTCGCGATGTTGTTGGTCGTCTGTCAGTTAAGCCGTGATCTTATTGGCTATGAAGACTCGTAATGTCATTGGTGCTTTACGATCCGTCTACTGTCACAGTTAAACAGTCGTTTATTGTTAGTCAAATTGTCATGTGTCCAGTCGTTTTCTCGTAGTTGTTTTTGATCACTCCAGAAAATATCATAACATACCATAATGCTCTTTCTTTGTCGCCCCAAACTTTTGCATAAGCATTGTTTTCAGTTTCTCTTGGGGCCATTTTAACTTCCAAGAGAAATTGAAGAAAATGCTTATGCAAAATTTTGGGGTGACAAACAAAGAGCATTATGGTATGTTATGGTATTTTCTGCAGTGGTCAATTAGTTTTGCTTGATTCCGTCAATAAGTCGTTTATACGGTGCCGGTAACTGTTGACTACGATTCAGTGGCGTTTGTTCTAAGTTAGTAAAACTAGCTTTCTAAAGTGAGTCGTTGGTAGTAGTTTGTAGAATACGTAATACACGTCGCAGAGTTCCAGTCGATTTGACGCTTTCGTCTGTAAATGGTGCTCAGCAAAGTGATTGTTGACGTCGCCATTTCTCGTCGCTAGTTTGCATTCAGTCAGTCGCGAGCTAAGCTTTCTGCTGGTTTCACTAAATGTAAGTAGCCTGGCAGTCAAATCAGATGTTTTCGTAAGCAGTCTTTATTAGAGAGGTTAAGAGTCAAGTTTACGGCAAACGGCAAACGGCAAACGTCAGATTCAAGTTGGAAATTTCTCAGAATAGAAGGTAAGCAGATATAAGCTGTCCAGAACTATTCTTATGGATAAAACTGGCGTGAAACTACTTATTTTTTTTAGTAGAAGTGATTATATAAACAGTAAACGACAATTAAGGGGGAAATTTGTTCACGTGTTACAATTTCACGTTTGCCGATTGCGTAAACGTGAATCTTAATCTCTCTATTATGTACATTTGCTACTTCAAACAATCTTGTTGACGCTAATTTGAGGATCTTTTTTGTTATCATATCAGAACTTATGCTGGGTTATTGCAATGTAAGTACTGTGTAATTCAACAATTTGATAAAAAGTGAATTGATAATTACTGGAAACTTTATTTGTGTTTTTAAATGTACAATTGTAAATCTCGCTACGTATAGGCAATTTACAAATGCTGCTTGAGATTGGATTATTTATAAAAAGAAAAAACAAACAAAAAAACAAAAACAAAAACAAAAGCCAGAAAAAAATATCAAAATTGCATTAAGTCTGGGCTACCCCATAATAATAATAATAATAATAATAATACAGATGCATTTACCTTAGGTGGTAGCCCCTTTACAGCAACTTCTGTCCACAAAAGAGAAAAACAAACGTTAAATGTTCAAACATTTAACATTTTCTAATTATTAATATCATATGCCAGACTTAGGGAAAGAAAAATGATCGTTGTTATTTTATTAACTTGGCGGAGTAGTTTAGTCCGACAAATGTAAATGGAAAGGTGTATTCAATCTTGATTCTCATTGGAAATTCTACATTAAACTTGGGAAAAAGAACAAAGAATAAAAAACAAAATATTTACTTCTCTGAAGAATACATGTGACCAAGGTCGAAAGGGTCCATAGCGATAGGACAGCCATACTAAAAATTAACCTGAAAAGAGACGTATATCACATCATTCAACTTAACTGCTTAACCACGTCATTACTGTACCCCTGAACTGAAGTCGAGGATTTAATCCACAGGCAGGGGCCTGGCAATACTCATGGCCTTAAAATAACTGAGGAACAAAGATATTGCCTTTGCCTTACAAACCGAGCCAGACCTTCGTGCGACTTGGATGAAAACAATAAAATTACGGTTCTTTATTATATGGCTACAATAGTACGCGCGCTCTGATTGGCTGTTTTCTTGCAATGACCGGGCATTACTAGCTTCTTAGCGTACGATTCTTGCAGGGACCATTTGGACAAACAGCTCCGAAGGAAAGCTGGATCTTGTTCTAGATCAGGATCAGTAATATAAAGTAACACTTAGAATTGAAGGCAAGGCTGATCGGACAGCTAAGGGTTGGTAATTTACAAATTTATTTGCCAATATATTGACGTTATCAAATTGCAAAGTCAAAATAGCGAGGTTTTATGAATTCTTATTTACACTAGGTTGAAGATAAATAAAAAATAAATCTTTGTACAAGTTTCCAGCCCCGAAGCGTGAGTCATTTCGAAAATACAGTAATTTGAACTTCCGAGTTTTCACAGTGCAAGACACCAAAATAGAAATGCTGCCTCGTTGAAAAAGGTCTCTCCTCTTGATTTTCAGCAGCTTAACGATTTCAAGTATTAAAAGACGTGTTTATGCGCACGTATGCTAGCTCTCGAGTGAAAAGAAAGAGCTTTTACAGAAAAAGTGAACACCAGATGTTTTTGTTGATTTTCGGCGGCCACATTGGTCGACTCCATACCAAGCTCTACAAAGGTGCGTTAAATGTTTCGGCAAATAACTCAGAAACTGTGGGTCACAAAGACCTGAGACTTGGACAAATTGTTTATATGTTAGTGTTTTATAACATTTCATTTTCTCGGCTTCTTCCACTGGACGGTTTCTAGTTGTTTTTTTTTTGTGCCGTGTTTATTGCGTGACAGTGAAAACGAAGAATAGTATGAAACTAACAAAGGATATTCACACCCAGCCGCTTGAATACATCGGTAAAGAGAAACACTGTAACACTGAAGTGTCTCTGCCCAAGAATATAACATGATGATACTTCAAAAATATAGTAAATTCTTAAACGGCCAGCGGAGCAAACAAACGCACGTCTACATGCGGCGACGTTCTCTCCGGTCTCCCCTTAAACTCTGAAAGTTAAATACATACAAATGATTGTTTCACATCATCGTCCATATTGGCCATGGCACCTAGCACATTCTCCATATTAAGTATTCCTATTCATAGTACGTAGGGATGGTTAGCTCGAAAGCCAAGCTCCTCTGAGCACCGTACACTTCTATCAAAGCCACTCATTTCTTTCGTTTCTTTTTTTCTCTTTTTTGTTATTTTATTCCCACGTTACTATAAACAGTGTAAATATTATTTAAAGAAATTTCGTCAAGAAGCCGTAACCATAACACTTTTTTGGTGATTTTTGCTGGCACAGCATTAAGACCCAAGTTTTTTCAAGTTTCAATCTAAGTCCATCCTTGCCATGATCCTTAGCAACAGACCTCGACAGGAAACAGTTTCAACGCCTAAATATAGTCTTAAATAACAAAACTGGATCGCCATTATTCATGGAATTAAACGGATGCGAAGACACGTTTGAGGTTTTTACAAGGATAGCAAATAGCGTGATAGTATAACCCCTAAACGCCAACCAACGCCGCCCAGTAATGTGTTTGATAACGTCTCTTGACAGGGGCACCCAACGTCAATTTTCGGAAAATATCTGTTCGGAAGACGATTTGAGATCTAGAATTTTCGGAACATTTGTTGTAAAATGTCTTGCTTGCCTGCCTCTCCTAGGATACATCTAAAAAATGGTATAATTTCTCATTTTTAACGGATTTTTACCCTAAAAAGGTCACCTTGAATTTGCGGGAGCCTTTTTTCTGGCTGAAATTTTCGAAAAGGTAAGTTTTGATCCCTATAATTTTCGGATCACTAGACTTTCAGCTAGGAAATCCGAACAGATGAAAAATTTTTAGGGGATAAAAATATGCCTATATCTACCGTTTAAATACTAACATACGTTTAACAATGCTATGTTTAACTGGTTTTGAACTATATTCCCGATCGGTGCCCCTGAACGTTACATTGAGCGAGACAAAGATCGTCAAATGTGAGAACTGAATGCAATATATTTTATTGCAGTTAACATTTCTTTTCAAAGTTCTTGATAAAATAATTGAATTTTGATTCCTTTAGACGACCAACTCTCTGTGAAAAACCAAAGCGGACACTTATGAGCTTTTGCTCTATTGTATATTTATTAAAGCACAAATAGTTGTATTATACAGCACTCATAAGGACAGGTAAACAGAAAATTGTAACACCACCTCATTCCGCTCGATCTTGAACCATTAATAAATTCCAGAGTTTCAAATAAACAGTGAATGTTTCGAAACAACCGCACGGCGGTAACTAAAGTAAAACAACATCACAGAGTAGACCGAACTATGAAATAACTGATCTTGTTACAATCTTTCTTGCAAAACTCTTTTAGTGCAACACTTTGAAAAAACAGTGGACTCTTTATCGGGTATCTCTTTATCAAGTTACCGTCATTCTCGAGGCTTGACTTTCTTAACTTATTTTACTCTTTATTGCACTAGGTGGAGTATGGTCGGGGTCGTTTCATTAGATATTTGATAGAAGAGTATCGCTGTTAAGGGAAACTGACCCAAAAAAACTTTATGACGATTAGTTTGATAACGAATGGCCGACTGATTGGCATTGCAGGGTGGAGATGAATTTACTCGTATTTTTTTATTGTCCTAATAGAAGAGTTGAAAAAAGAGTTTGTCCACTCAAACCGAAAACACAAACCGTGTGACACTACAATTTTGAGGGTTCTATTTTACGATCCGTAAGGATTAATAATATTAAAAACAACAACAACAACAGCAACAACAACAAAAACCCAAGGCAAAAATTCAATCGCAAAAATGAAGTCCATAACTGTGAAGGCTTAGAAAGAAAATAGAATTTACTTTCGGATGTTGGATTGCCTTTATTTGAACTCATATAATAATTTCGCATTCCCGGAAAGGAAGCTAAGCCAATCACAAAAATTAACTGTATATAGTTCCGGCGCAATGCAAAAATTTTCGATCGTGCAAAGTCAAACACCCAGAATGCCTAAAAAAATTAACACCAGGCCTGAAGAAGCGAGAAGCATTAAAGTTTGGACAAATCGTAGTACAACTTTGCGGCAAAATACAAGTTAAAGTTCTAACCCTCTAACTTGTATTCGACATGAGGGTTTAAAACGATATAGCAGAACTCAGAGCTAAAAATATACTTTTCCGCGTCATACCGTGAGTACTCACCTGCCGTTTTCGGCTAACCCGGCGGTGCTCTAATAAGTCTGAACGGGTTCAGATAAATTCCTTCTGCAAATGGAAGGAAAAAAATGATTACTAAACTTTTAAGCTATCTGTTTCCGGAAATGTGTTTGTCCTTGCTGTTTGTAAAAGTCAACTAATACATAAATGTATTTTACAATTCGAACGATAACTGTTTGCAATAACACAGGCTAATACAAAGTTCAATCGGAAGACTTGATCGGCAGAAGTCCAGAAAAGCTCTCGCGAGTCGACCATCCTCGGTGATTGGCCACTAGCTGGGTAGCAAAAATTAAAAAAAGACAGACTAGCGAAACTACATAAGGGTCAATACATAACATTATTAATTAGCAGATAAAGTAACTGTGTTTCCGAAAGTGAATGTTTAGACTTCGGCTTTTAAAAAACAAAAACCCGGTTGACAATTGAAGTTTGTAATACTTTTCAAATGTCAATATGTTAGAACTCCATTGAATCCCCCGCAGCCCTTTATATATTTTTTTTTTACTGCTATAACACTGAGAAGAAATGAATATTGACAAAAAGAGCCGAAACCTGGAGTATTTTAGTGCTGAGTTGATTGTAAGCAGTCTTGTTACTTTCCATTCAGTTACAAACAATTGCAAGCCCGCGGGCAAACAGCTGAAACTTCATTTGGTTGGACTTTGTTTCACTTTTTTATAGGTTTTACCAAGACAAAAATTCGTAATCTTCAAATATAATCTTGTTCAAAGATACTGAACTTAAGGTGTCATCTATAACATGTTCGTGGCCAAGTCCATTCAATTACCTATCAAGGGGATTGTTTCAATCTGACATGCTAGGGTGTCAAGTTTTTGTACTGATGCGGCCAAAATGTTGGTCGTTTTCCCGCTACAAATATGAAATAGGGTTACCCACTTACTTTTAAATTTCTCATGATCCTGAACGTGATCTGGTTGAAATGTAGTTTTATTTGGACACAAGGAAGGCTTTTTAAGAAGGCCACTGAGACTGCATTCATCATTGAATTAATGTAGTATTCGATGCCGATAACGGGTTCGATCGCATGTGCCTGATAATGGCTAATTCACACGGTTAAATAAGATGAAGTGAAGGAAAGTTTGATGTCATTACTACCTAATATAAACTGAAAAGTTTAATATCAGATACTGTGTTCATTCTAACGCCCTTCTTGTATCTACCCTTTTTACCGCTCGAAATAACTGACAGATCATGAAAACTTTTAAGTACACATGTGTTTTAATAACTAGGTTATTCTTTGATTTTCTTTATTTAAGTTCCGGTTTTGTTCTATTTCGCCGGTGTCGTAATAAAGTTCTTATTAAAGAGCGCCCATACTGACATTTAGTAATACGTACAATAAAACTGTATTTTAAAGCCAACTTAAGAAACTCGAAATAAACAGCAAAATTGTTATGTCAGAAACGTAAAGTAGCCAAGTCAATCAGACTATTTCTAAAAATTAGCCCTTTTGTTAAAAAAAATTTACATTCTATCTTCATCATTGTAGTTGATAACGAAAGAGCTGTATACCGATGATTTTGAAGGGCTACTTTAAGTGTTACAGGTCTGTTTTTAAAAAACTGTTGCACCGGTGAGATAAGATCTGTTACCGGAAAAGTTTTCAAAACTTTTGAGATAGCACGCGTAGGTTTACTATCAATTTATTTCAGGGGAAACATAGTCTTTATCACAAAGAGGGCTTTTAACCACAGGGTTTCATTATCCATAATTCTCCATAATTCTAACTGCAGCTGGTTAATGAAGACTATTGTGAATTCCTTGTTTTGCTTCCCGGCCAGTGAGGCAGTTTGAGACTCGCTAAGGCCTCCTACGAAAATAGTATCAAGATATATAAGTATGAGGAACCTGACCTAAACTCGAAAGTTATCCCTCGACGCAGTTTACAAAGAAAACTACTTTCAGAACGGAGTTCAGAAAAAGCCTGTGGATGAAAAATACTCTAAGGGCAAAAAGTCGAGAGGAAAACATGGCTCACGCAGGCTGTGAATAATCTAGCCTGCATGTCGAGTGAATGGAGAGCTTGCCGGCTCGCAGGGTAAAAATCTGAAGGTGCCCAGAATCGCAGAAAAACTACACGATTCAAATATCCTCGCCCTCTTTATGAACGAAACTAATGAAACAACGAAGATCGAAACTCTTGAAAATGAAAATACCAAAACAGTAAAAGGAGTATTAAACATAAGTTAAACAAGAAGTTGGTCCGGCAAAATGCTTTTCCACGTGTTCTCTCAAATCTACTCATGACAACAGTTCACTGAACAGCCCCCAGACCCCTCTCATCGAGTACTGTAGAAACCCCATTTTCCTTATTTTTCATCAAAAACGTGTGCCACGCTGGCGACAGAAATTCTTCATATTTGACAAATACCTTTTCACTCAAATGCTGGAAATTGAGGAAATGCCACTCTTCCAAACTGCTGATCTCTTACCTTAATTTTTGCGACACGTACAGCGACATGATTAGGCTGCGTTTATAAAACTCTTTTGGTTATGGATAGCAAGGTAAAAAAAACGAAATCTATCTATTGGGCAACTGTTTCTGCTTAGTTTCACTGAGGACTCACTAAGCAATGAGTTTAATGTATGTGTTTCATCCCCTCGTAATTCGATGGCATGTAACATTAAGAAACAGGAGCTACGTCTTTTATGTGATTCGTGCAACAAATTTAGAAAATAAGTGCATGGTCTGAACAATATTAAAATACAAAATTGGGTTGGTTTGGCACTGTACTTCGGACAGTTTTTAAATGTCGTCTTACAGCAAACCGTTTGATTTGATGCAGAGAATTTGCAATCTTCGTTTAATCCGATCTTTGAACTGCCTGGTGCTGAAGAGGATTATCAGTTTGTGACTATACTTACTTAACCAAGAATGAAGTTTGCTCAGGTCGTTTCTCTTTTCCTTAGTAAATGAACCGCTCCTTTAACTTCGAAGAGAAGCATCGATCACTCATCAACGAGACTGTTTGATAAGGGAACTATAGTCCTGTTTGTGTATTCAGAGGTTGACGTGAGCGTGGGTTTCAAATTACAATCATACCGCGGAGTAGTCACCTCAGGATTTCCTATCATGTTTCCTGTCAACTATTTCCGGCTTTTGATCATCTGACCTATGATCCACGAAATGTCTCCGAATATTAAAGATACCCTAACTGAACTTTACACGGGGCTAATAACAATGATAATATGAAATCGCCAACAAAAACAGACCAAGGGGAGACTCCCGTAGAAAAGTGAACGAGACGCTCTTGCAGATTTTGGTAGCCTATATGTTAGGTGCAAAAAAGGGGAGGGGCAGAGGAGACAAGCGCAAAAGGGAAATGGGAGAGTGAAGGTGACGCAATATTTCGAGCTTAGGCTACCTGTGCTAAAACGTGCTCGCTGGGTTTTCGTTGCAGTCGTTTGAACATGGGGCATCGTCATCGTGGTCTCCATCGCACCGGGGAGCATTGCATCAGACTCCTGGTGGCCCTAAGGAGACCAAGGGCATCGCAGGTAGTTTACCGTCAAGGCCGGTACCGACAGATAACTTGGGGAAAGACCCAAACCTGAACACGGGTAGTTGGCTGGCAGCTCTGCGTAGAAAGTAGTGGGGTACAGAGGGAAGCTTTTGAATTCCCGTTAGAAAGCAGTTTTATGTCGAGGTTGACGAGGTTTCCTTCTTTTTATTCTTCTTCTATTATCATTATACGGAGCTCGGGGGGGGGGGAGCAATTAACTAGCGATTAGCGTAATGGGTTAGTTTTGAGGTCAGAGTTAGTGTCATGGGTGAGGAGGGTAAGTTCTTGGTTCTTGGACTTGGCTGAGTGGACACTGAGTGCAGGCACCTTCTATCAAACGATATGATTAACTAAATATATTTCGCCAAACATAGCTTGACTATTGTGTTCCATAAGGTCCTTAAGGGGCCTCAAGAAAACGTGAGCTATGTTCAGATTGGTTTCCTTGAGGATTTAATTCTAAATTTTTAACGTGCATTCTCAGCTCTCCTTTATATACCCCCCTCGGAACAGACTATTGTTTTCGTACGGAAGCCAAAATTATCACTCGATATGTCCATGTGGCCCACCAAACACGTCTCATGTGTTGAAATTCGGGAAATGAGCATTTTCTTGACACTTTAAGGATTGATTTCCAGTGTCGCGTAATTTTTACGTGCGTACGTGCGGAAAATTTACTTTCGCAATGCGTGAAAGGTCGCTCGTCAGCATGAAACTTGAACCTCGCTCAACTTCTCGTTTAAGCTTAGCACTTTTTATCTTACCTCAGCTATTTTATTGACGTAATTAAAATTTAGGTGCGTTAACGTGCGTAGCCAGAAACACGTCAGTGGAAATCAACCTTAAGACTATTGCTTTCGTACTAAAGGCAAAATTATCACCCGATATGACCGTGTCACCCTCCAAAGAAGTCTTGAAAATAGGGAAATGAGCATTTTCTTGACACCTTAAGACTCGCCGATTTCACTGTGAATTAACATTAGCTTCAGTTGATTATAGAAAATTGCTATAAACGTGCAAGCTGGCATAAATTTGCTGAAAAATGATAATAACTTGAAACACAAGCGAATGAATTCACTTACCAATTGGCACAATCGCCTTTTTGCAGCACAATGGGGAAAAATAAGAAAAATATAAACAATAAGAATGTTTTGGCCTGGTCAGTACTGTTTGATTTCCGATAGGATCTGATGTGACGACCAGCCGGTTTATTCGTGTCCCTTTAATATACCAAAAAGTTTTATCACATTGCAAATAATCAATAATGCTCACCTTGAAACCAGGAAGGATTGACCAAGTGGAAGCTACCAGACACCTTTTCTTAAAAAGAAATAGCAATAACTATTGATTAAGTTTATCGGCTTTAGCTGCATCACATTGGGTTGTGCTATTATTATTGTTTTTCAGTAAACATCACACCTTCAAGGTTCCGATCAATATAACGCTTTCATTATTGTATTCTACGACCAGAAGTTTTCCGATAACAATTAACAGGTGAAGAAAGTGGAGCTGTCCTGGGCAGATTATCTTAGATAAGTTTAAAAATAATTGAAAATTCGGTAAATGGACTAAAATTAAGATTCTCGTGTCAACGATCTTTGTTTATGCTGTAATATCGTTTATACAAAATAAATACGCCACTTTGAGTTACATGGCAATCAAAGAAGCAGGAAAACTATAACTAAACAATAAGTTACCTCAGTTACAACATTAACGTTAGTCCATTTAAGGTAGTTTCACCCCAGATTCAAGAAGTTTTATACTTGGGTGTTTCAGAACTGGTTCGCCGGCTATGTTTTGCCGATCATAAACAGAATGGTTAACCGAATAGGCATAAATGCTTTGGAAAATAAAATACTGACTACCTTCTCTACAATAATACTGGGCAGCGATCATTGCAGTGATCCGCGAAACATTATTCACTTCGTGGGGTGTTTGTCAGATCAGTGGATTTTCTTGACACTCCATTAATGTCGTACCCAGATCTTCCACGGCCAAAGGAAAGGGAGATCTGGGTACGAGATTAACACCATCCGACAAGCACTCGGTTTCCACGCCAAGGTTTATTACTGAGGTTATTATACATTGTACTCATTATCTGTCTTCTCAATGGCGAGAGCCTACAGCTATACTCAAGTAGTTTAAGGCCTGGGTTTACTTGTGAAAAAAGGAATTAATGACTATAACTTCGGCATAGATGATGGCGCTGAATCAAAATTTGGCACATGAAAAACTCATTGTCCTTAACAGTTTAAAGTATAAATATGGTGTTAATAAGTCACGCGATATGTCACGTGACCATTTTGCTTAAAATCCTAAATTAAGAAAAGAAATCGAGCAATAACTTTTTCTAATTCATATTAAATAGTTCTAACACTTCGCGTTTGGAATGACCGTCCATTGCACTTAAAAAATTATGAGGGAAAACGTCATTTTAAATGCCCAAATTTAAGCTTGAATTATTTAAAACTTTAATTTTAAAAATGTTTATCCTCTTTCAGAAATGCCAATTTGTTTATCCAAACAAAGTAAATTCGCCACCAATTCGCCAATTTCCTTCATTTTCAATTAATGGTCACTTGACATGTCACGTGACCATGATTACCATGATTAAGGCACAAGAAAAACCTCAAGATTTACTTTTGGTGATAAATTCATTTTGTCCTAGGTCTCCTAGCGAGAGATATTGCCAATAATTTATATGCTCCGAACAAACCTTTGACCCAGGCCTTAAACCCTTTGAGTAATTTTGGAAATAGCGCAACCTACAGATTAGTCAGTTATCTGCTAGCAGATAACTGACTAATCAATAGATTGCGCGTGTAATGCATGATTTCCAGTAACAATTGTATCAATTCAGGTTCCTTGCGACGGTGTGTTTGTCGTTATTTTCTTCAAAACAATGTATAATAAAACAATTTTAAGATTCGCTTTTTGTGATATCCTAAATAATCAAGGTCTCGGTGAGTGTTATCAGCCTCGGCTTTCGGCTCGGCTGAAAACACTCAACGGCTACCTTGATTATTCCGGATATCACAAAAAACTCATCCAATAATGGTTTATAATTGTCGTGCTTCATAGCAATCTTATTGTCTGCCTAGAGAGATTAAATCTGTGGCCGTTTCTAACTGATTTTCGGTTCTCTTTTCTTCGTTATTTATTTCAGTGAGCTATTTGACCCCAACTTTTAACCTTAACTTGTCACGTGACCCAGGACGAGAATCTGTGAAACCACTAAACCAAAAGCCCTATGACGTAAAAACCACTTTGTGGAATAAAGGCAATATATAACCCCGCCTGCTGAAATCAGCTGCGGTGCGGACAACCCAGGCAAATAAATGTTTGGAGCTCGAATGAATGCTGGCCTAAACTGATTCGAATTTGCAACCAACAACTAAACCGCAGAAAGCTACCCACCATTCCTCCTATCCAACCTAGTCCTCTGGTCTGCTCCGTTATACAGTCAAACCTCTGTTAAGGGGTAACCCTCGGGAATTAGCCAGGTGGCCGCTTAATAGAGATTGACCGCTTGATGGAGAGCTGCTTGATAGTACTAAGCACTGTCAGAATACCACTATTTATATTTATGTATTTACTCAACTAGCTTTTTTACTCGTGCGTCGGTGTCGATTGTATCCTCTGGCACCTGGTTTACAGACTTCAGTTATCGAAACCAGGCCACTTACAGAGGAAAGGGATAGATACAAACGCCTGGTAGCCTGCGAAAGCAGACGTGTTTCCGGTCGTCTCTTCTGAAACATTGCTCTTGAATCAAGTGCAGTCTTGTAATCTTACGGTAATTTTGCAACAAACTGGCTTAGAAGTCCCTGCTGACCTACAGGCCCTTGTATCTACTCTTATGGATGTTCTTTCTGGGTAGTGAAGGCAAAATAGGACGTCACATACGAACTTTTCATATCCGTTCAGTAGAACAACCACAATTTCGGCTTGTAATTAG